ACTTGTTATGCATCAGAGAGTTGGACAATGACCAGGGAGGATAGAAGGAGAATTGATGCTTTTGAGCTGTGGTGCTGGAGAAGAGTATTGAGCATACCATGGACTGCTAGGAAAACAAACAGATTCGTCCTGCAAAGGGTTAAACTGGGTGGCTCCTTGGAGGCAAGGATTCTGAGGCTTCGTCTAACATACTTTGGACATGTTTTGAGGAAAGACCAGTACTTGGAGAAGGACATCAGGCTTGGGAGGGTGGAGGGACAGAGCAGGAGGGGAAGGTCCTCTATGATGTGGATTGATTCAGTGACTGGGATAATCGGGATGGGTGTGTCAGAGGCAGTGCGATTGGCACAGGACAGAGTATAGGGCTGTTGTACATAGGGTCGCTATGAGTCACAAGCGACTCGACGGCACCTAACAACAACACATGAAAATCTGTTCCCAACGGTTATGAAAATGTAAGTCAAACTTTACAGAAATACCTGGGGTAAGGATCAGCTCCCTCAGAGCATGCTCCTTGGGCTACAGGAGTGCAGGCGCCAGAATTGAGCGGTGCCTGTACCATCCAATGGAGCGAGGAGGGAGGAACCTCCTCCACCAATCGTGGAGTAGATTCTAAAAACTGGCGCTGAAGTGGAAAAGGCCAGTAAATCGTGGCGTTTGGGAGCTGACCCAGAGTCTCGCAGGCGTGAAAGAGCAGGGTTTGCGATTGGACCCCTAAGCTTCGTCAAATGTCTTTTCCTCCTCGTCTGTTAGGGTAAAAGGGAGGTACTAAGGGCCAGAGGTTCCTGCTGACAGATGGGACTGCTGGGAAGAGCCACGTAGGCTTCTGCGCCTGTTTGCTCCCTTGTAAACTGGAGTTAATAATCCGCCTTAAGGCAAAGAACGAAGTATACTGGAATGTTTCATAAGTTGGGATGCAGTGAAAAGAAGGAGGCTGAGTCCTCTTCCTCCATTTCGCCCCCCAGTTTATATGTGGTGTTTTGACAGGAGAAAACCTAAATGAAGAATAATTTCTGACCACCTCACATAAAAGGGTAAAAAAAGAAAAAAAATCATTTTGGATATAGATTATAGAACATTTGAATGTAAGTCATTACATCCCAAGCAATGATTGATCCTTAGATGTAATAATGACGCTAGCCCATTAAATTGTCAAGAAAAACACTTTAGTAGCTGCATGGAGCTGGTGAAATTGATAATGCCTGTGAGTTAATTGGAAGCTAGTGATTATAAATACTCTCAAGTGGGCTCAGAACGGACCCTGCGTTGGGTTTCTTGAGGCTGTCGATCTCCCGGAAGGACATTGCTCTTTCTTCTCCCAGGGAACTGGAATCGCTTTAAGGGTCGTAGCCGGCTCCCCCTAGACTAAAGGACCAGAGCTCCCTCCCAACTGCCTAACAGAAGGGCTGCCTGCTCCTGCGCCCACCCTCACAGTCCTCACTGTCAGCTTCCGTGGCAATCTCCACTTTTTAGGGGGTACACCTCTTTTCCACCGACCCTCTGCTTTACCAAACTTGGGAGTCTTTCTCCAGAGACTGGCTCCCTCCAGATGGGAAGGGCAAAGTATGTTATAAAATCTTGCTACCCTCTCTTCTTAAGGAGCATTCTTAGCACAGAGCAATTTACACTCATGATCTCATTATCAGAACCACCCCATAAATGAGGTGTGGTAACATGTCCCACTTAGGAATGACGGCAGATTTTTTTCCAAAAGCAACAGGATTTGTCCAAGTTACAGGGCATCCAGAACCGCAGGACGTTGCAGCCCGAGGGCCTCATAGGACCATAACCTTCAAGCTTGTCCATTCTTAGGTTGGGGGTTCTCTCTCGCCTTGCGCCCCCATCCCAGGCACACGTTATCTAATTGTTAGCAACAGTGCTGGTTATTTATTGATTTTTTTTTTTTTTGCCTTCCGCCTGGGACATTTTATAGTCATTTGCACCCAGCTCTTCGCAACATTTCTCGAGTCAAATGGCTGAACAAATGAGGAGACATTTAGTGGGAGGGTGGGAGGTGGGGCTGCAGACCAGAGGCAGCGTCTCGCGCTCAGTGGAGCACCAATCGCGGCGCCTCACACAATCCCAAACGGTTGTCGGTTTTCGGATGTCCGCGCGCCAAATACTAATTGAGACGAGGAGGTTTGAATGGATTTTTTTTTTTTTTTTCCTTCTGTGGGACCCTCAACGACCAGGATAGCAGCGTTACCAATTTGACCGGCAGCTCCAGGGGACATCGGGGGACTCCTAGGGTAGTCTGCGGGAACTCCTGCTGAGGTCCCAACGCTTTAATCTCCCGCGCTAGCTCGCAATGGAACCGACCAATGGGAAAGCAGCACAGACCCTCCCAATTGCCTCGTCCCGCCCCCTCGTCCTACGAAGTTATTTAAATACCGCCGAGGTAGCGCGGAATCCCAGTTCGCTGGTCTGCTTTAGCTTTCTTTCCATCTCTGCATACCCTTCAGGCTCGCCAGCCGCCAGCATGTTCTCTCTTCGCCCTCCGCTCGCTACCCTCGATCCCCAGCAGCTCGAACTCTTCCCATGAAGGGGCTCAGCCTGGCAGACAAGGAGAACACGGTGAGTTGAGCGTGTGGAGCTAGCCCCGGGGCGTGGGGGGTGGGCGCCGGGGTCCGAGCACGCGCGAGGCAGCCACTTCCTGGGAGATGGAGGTGGCTGGCGCCCCGGCCCTGTGGACACTGCAGTTTCTGAGAGTCGACTCCCTGACCTTGGGTGCCTGGGGGCGGGTGGGGACGGGACTCCCCGACACCCGGCTCACTGCGCGTCTCCCCGGCAGCCGCCGTCCCTGAGCAGCGCCCGGGTCCTGGCGAGCAAGGCTGCGAGGAAGATCTTCCAGGAGCCGGTGAGTACAGGGGAACGCCGAGTACGCGGGCCGCCTGCGCACTGTGGTCTGCGCCGGGAGGCAGCGCGGGGAAACTAGAGTGCTTGGCGCCAAAGGCTCGCTCATTGTCTCGAAAGCGCTTTTCCCGCTTGCCCGATGACCCCACCTCTTCCTCTTCCCCACCCCCCGCCCCGCACTCCTTTTCCCGCCAAAGTACACCCCTACAATTTTATTATTCTCTGTAGTTCCCATATTTTCTGTTATACTCATGTCACATATGTACATGTGACCCGCATTTAGCGTTGTATACTATTGATTATATAAAGTGGTCCGTATTGTTTAGGATATATATATCTCCACTGGGTGGCTTTGAACTACCACCATATATATATTTCATGTACTGTTTCAAATTATAATGTGTTTCCCACTACAATTTAGGTTAAAGCCCATGACATTGGCCACAACTGAGTGTGCCTCACCTGGAGACATGCATGACAATGTCATATGGGCCAACTCCAGTGTGGCCAGCAATTTGGATGCCTCCAGCGTTTGTTTGTTTGTTTGTTTGTGTGTTTTTATCTTGTGTGTCTGTGTACCGTCAAATCAGATCTGACTGGTACAGGAGGAAATTGTCCCTCCTTTCCCGGCAGAGCATCTGGTGGATTTGAACCATGCGCCCCTGGGATTGCAGTGCAGCTTCTTGCCACTAGACCACCAGACCTCCCCTCAGCCAGCGTTTTTATGCTTTCTCTTTTCTCCTTTCTCCACCAGGAGGAAACTAAAGTACCTGCTCCCAGCTCTGAGAGTGAACCATTGCTGAGAGAAAACCCCCGCCGCTTTGTTGTCTTTCCTATTGAATATCATGACATTTGGCAGATGTATAAGAAAGCTGAGGCTTCCTTTTGGACCGCCGAGGAGGTAATTCGCGAACTGGCAGCTCTGCCCTCAGCCCTGGAGAGAAATTTAAGCTGAGAATATATATCTTTATCAAGTGGTGCTTGTAGGCGTAAAGGAAACTGAAGAGTTGTACACATATGTGTTAGGATGTGCATGTTTGAATTTCTTCCCTATAAATAATACAGACTTCTAAATGTTTAGGTGGATCTTTCCAAAGACATTCAGGACTGGGAAGCCCTTAAGTCTGAGGAGAGATACTTTATATCCCATGTTCTGGCCTTCTTTGCTGCAAGTGATGGAATAGTGAATGAAAACCTGGTGAGTTCCTAGAACTGCTTTGATTCATGTAACGATTATGATAAAAATAATTTGTTTTACTTTATCATTTTTGATAGAGGATGCAAGTATATCTTCGTGTAATTTATGCTACATGGCATTTCCTGTTTTGTAATGTGCTTTGCAGTTAGTTACTTCATTATGGTATTTTGCAGAGAAGCTCAGAAACAATGTTAACTGAAAGTGATGAGTTCTTATATAGCAATTTATCGCTCTTTGGTGATTTTGCTGTTCTTATAATTTGGATGCATATATATGACTTACTGTAGGTGACTAGACTCTTAAAATGAGGTTGGAGAAAAGAAACTGACTACATAATGGTATAAAAAAAAAGTGACTCATCCACTGGACTGGTAGTTTTTCTAAAGGCTTATCTTTGCCATGTTTTACCACTAGGTGGAGCGGTTTAGCCAAGAAGTCCAGGTTACAGAAGCTCGCTGTTTCTATGGCTTCCAAATTGCCATGGAAAACATACATTCTGAAATGTATAGTCTCCTTATTGATACTTATATTAAAGATCCTACGGAACGGTAAGTATTAAAATGGTAAGGATTCATTAATTGTGCCTTGAAGTTTTTATATTCATAAATCAAAACTTAAAAAACATTTCTGTTAATGTCAGTTTTGGCCCCTGGCAATAGCATGAGTTACAAAATGCTCCATAAGATTTTCTTTACTGTAATCTTTATAGTAGTAGTACTTCATACCTTTTTCCTGTAACACCACTGGGTGGCTTTGAACTACCACCAGTCTTCCGGTTAAGAGTCAATAGCATGTGTGAAACAATTGCATTTTGGAGGGTAGGCTCTCTTGTTTTATTTGAAAGTCAGGTGTAAACTGATTGTTTTTTATAGTTCATAATCCTGTGTGAGCTGATTGGATTTACTGGATTTAGCTAGCTAACAATGAGCTGTGGGCTGGAGCCTCTGGTTTAAGTCAGTTAGGACTTGGTGAGCATCCCTTTATATTTAAAAGTTGTTTGGG